AAGTATAATCGAGTACTCATATTTTGTTCTACCCTGTTGCAGGTGACATGAACATGTGAAGATGACACTTGTGTGTGGAAACCTTCTGATGGGCTCAACGAGGATTTTCTTAACGTTGCGGACATAGAGTTTATTTGAAACTTCCACCCAAAATGTTTTATAATGGAAAAACTTATAACCTGTTATGATGTATATAATGGATCATCATGTTAATGTTTAACTTGTCATTAAATGATTTTATTTCCGCTGAAATTCTGATAACATGGTTATATTCCGCTGTTATAAACAATAAATATTATACTCTGATGTTGCATGAAAAGTGACGTAAGAAATGGCTAAAATGTTGTAACCTTTATTCTCTCATTTATGATCCTGTTGAAAAATGTGGATTTTCGGGGTTCTCCCATGGGGTGTGCTCGACAGAACTGTTTAGATTAGCTCACTCTTGGAGTATTTAGTGTCTAATGGAAGATAAATACCTCCGAAAATGAGTTATTTTAGATGATTCTGCCACACTTCCTTCGCTTCACCCTGCGATCCCACTGCAGAAGCCAACAGGCAACAACAAAATAAAATGTGGGTTAGCACAAAAAAAAGTTGCCTGAACATAATATAGTATAAAAGTGTAAATTTTTTGCTCCTATTGCAACGCACGAACATTAACCTAGTGCTAAGTAAGAAATTCCTATGATCAACACTAGTTACAGAGCTTTGGATGTGAAATGAAGCACTTATTAAGCTTAGGGAACCATACATGCAAATTAATAGTGCAAGGATGGGGAGGTGAGGCCGCTAACAAATTTGAGGATCCCTAATTATTTTAATCTTCGTAACAACAAGGAAACTATGAAAAAAAATTATTGATGTGTTGTGAGATTTGTTTGAAGAGTTCGGCATTTAATTTGAAGACACCAAAAGATGTAGTGGTTATTTAGGGTGTGGCTTCCACAAGTAGACTGGCAAATGCGATGTCAATTTTCTACCGGAGCAACTTCTATATTTTCTGGTTATTTTGGTTTTGAGCATGTTCGCTGGTTGGTGCTAGTGCTGGTTTAGACTGATTGGTGCTGGTTTTTTTGAGAGAAAAATATTATTAGCTAGCTAATTTAGGCTGACTACAACCAACAAGCGAACATGCTATCTGTAAGTTCGGTCTTATTAGTAGGCTTTTTTTAGTGCCGGCTCTTCGGAAGGAAAGGGTCACGTCAAAACTGTGCTCCTCTGTTGACGAAGGAACGTAGCTACGGATTGCGTGCCATAAAAAATGTTTATATTTGATCAATTTCTAGTAAATACTATTTATATTTACGATTCCAAAATAATTTATTATAAAAATATATTTTATAATTAATCTAATGATATTTATTTAATATCATAAATATTAATATTTTTTATCTATAATTAATCGAATTTAATATACTAAACCATGACACTGTTTTAAAATTATATTTTTTCTGAACAGAGGGAGCAGTTAGCTTGTCGTTGGAAACCGCAAGCAAGAAGATTTTTGCCAAAGTAATTGTTTTCTAAAAGACCCGTAGCATAGTAATTTTAAGATATATAAGAGACATTTGCTCTAACAAATTATCAAAACCTCAGCCTGATTTATGAGGGGAAAATATCTCCTTTTCCTTTTAAAGTCGATGGTAGACTTAAGATATCTTCTAAAAAAATATAGGGATAGAAGATGTGAGAGAAGATGTCCTGCAGCTGTTAAAGATAAGAAAAAAAAATTATAAAATTTCTATGGAGATGTTTTTAGTGCTAAAAAAAATCGGTCTTTTTTTTTTTTGAGAACCTCCTTAAATAGCCGAAGGCTGAAGCCCTAATAAAGATTGGCCGTACGCTAAACTCATCCGGATGAAAAAAAATCTGTCTAGATGACGTTTAGTTGTTTTGACCCTTCCATCGATTGAATTTTTCCTGTTCACTTACATTGTCTCGTAACTATATTTACACTGTCTTATTATTATATTTACAATGATTTATTTAGTGTGATTTACTAGAAACAGTTGTGTAATTTAGGGATAATACAAATATATGTCAATTTTTTTAGAAAAATTTATAAATTATTTCTATAAATTTCAGATATAAAAGAAATATTTGTCAATTATTCACAAATATCATCAAATTATTCACATATTTCAGAAAAAAAATCCAAATGGTAGGATTGCAGCTACGGGGGACCGCGCCCACTCCCACGTCCGAGGACGACCGCGCAGGGCGGACGCCCGATTATGGGGGGGACGGCGTGGAGGGGAGCAAGCAACACCGCCGATCTTGGGGACCTGACAGTCGGCCCGGCCTAGAAGGCGGCGCACGAATCTGAGGCGATCTGCCGAGGAGAGGCGACGACGACCGGCTGGGGGCGGCCGGCAGAAGCGGCAACGAAGGAGGCTAGTCTTAGGCGGCGCGTCGAGTGCGGGTGGTGCGGTCTTGGGGCCGAGTCTGGTGATGAAGGGAGCAAGCTGCACCGGTGCACGGGAGCGATGGATCGGACGCCACACAAAGACGCTGACTCAATCCTTCGCCAAGAATTCGCTTGACAGATGCAGCGGAATCATTCGGTTGACATATAGCAATCATGAAAAAATTCTTTTTTCTAAAATAAAACTCAATTAAGGTGATGTTTAAATTTAGGACGTAAAATTTAGAAATGTCACATCGGGTGTCATATCGGAGGGTCATATAGGAGTGTTCGGATAGTAATAATAAAACAAATTACATAAGTTCTTAGTAATCCGCGAGACGAATTTATTAAGTCTAATTAATTCGTTATTAGCATATGTTTACTGTAGCAACACATTATCAAATCATGAACTAATTAGGCTTAAAAAATTCGTCTCGCAAATTAGTCGTAATTTCTATAATTAGTTATTTTTTTTAGTTTATATTTAATACTCTATGTATGTATCTAAATATTCGATGCGATAAAAAATAAACTTTAGAGAGAAACTAAACAAGGGCTAAGAGCCGAACCAACCCACTGGTGGCCACAGGAGATGTGACCACAGAAACGCGGCCTGGCCTGCGCGGCACCTCTGGAAGACTGGAACCTGCACACTGCACACCTCCCAACCTGTCAGTCATCAGGCCATCACACTACCGCCGCTACCACGCCGCCTCCAGTCCAAAGATCAAAAAGCTCCGTCTCTCGTCTTTAATTCCTCCTCCCTCCACCTTTCCCACCTCTTTTTCCTGTTAAATTATCCTCCGTGTCCCCTCCGGGAAACTATCGGATCTCGCTGAGCTCCCGGTCAATCGCTCGCTCGCTCGCATTTCTTCTTTACTATAATCGCCACTTCTCGGAGAGATTAATATTTAAAGGCGCTTAATCATGAAGTGTTTTGAGTTGAACCACCAAGAAACAGAGAGAAGCTAGAGAGCCTCGAAAGCCTCCCTCGGATCCTCTACGTGCTGCCGTGGGAGAGGGGAGAGAGCTTCCCTTTTCCCATCACCCTCTCGCTGGAGTGCGGCAGCTGTCCAGTCTCCAGTCCCCCAGTTTGTGCTCACTTCCACTGTCGGCGGCGGCGGCCGCCGCGGTTCGTCCTCTCGCTTCCGCTCCGCGGCGATCTAGCGAGTTCCTGTGTGCGCGTGTTTGGTAAGGGAGGAGGAAGGAATGGCTCTTCTTTGAGGACAAAAATCAGGTGGCGATCTTCTTTCCTGGCTGATTTTGTTCTCCCTTTTTCTTGTACTGTTGCTAAGATTATGCCGCCGTTTGTTGCGTCCTTTCGGAGCCTTGTGATCTTTCCTGCTCGTGACTTTCTACCAACTGCGAGGTCTCTTAGAAAGGGGTGACATTTTGGCTTCCAAACGAAAACGATAGATGTAGTGTTCTTAAAGCCTTGCTCGCTGCTCCCTGAGGAAATAAAAGTCCTAGGTGTTCTTCTGTCTTCGCTCTTGTTCTCTGACAAGGGTCCTTCACAATTTTCCGTTACTCTGTCCGTAGTGGTTTTGTGCGTGTGTTCACAAATTTTAGGCTTCACAAACTGACCAGGCACCTCCTGGCTCCTGCTTGGCTGCTTCTGGTGCTACTCCGGCTGTAGCGAGTTCTTCCTTAGAAAGGGGGTGCCATTTTAGCTAACAAACATAGATGAAGTGTTCTTTTTTTTATAAGGTGATGAAGTGTTCTTGAAGTCCTGCTTGCTGTTTGGTAGGGGGGTGGGGGGATATCTAGCTGTTCATCTATCTCTGTTTTCTCTGGAATGGTTCTAGTTTGAAGGGGATTTCACAGTTGTCATTCTGTCCATGGTCATTTCTAATTTTTCGGCTTTATTGAACTTCAATGGATCGTTCATGAATATGTGGCGATAGAATTTGGGGGAAATTTTCCCATGATGATCTGGATTCTGGAGGTGCCAACACATTGCTTCAATTTCTTCATTTAATAGCGGCCAAGGGATATTTCATCACGATTTTGGGTGACATTTTCAGTCACTGATTCATTCACTTGGGATTGGAAGATACTCCTTCCGTTCCAAATCATAAGACGTTGTGGCTTTTCTAGATATATTGCTTTTACTATGTATTTAGGCATAGTGAATATGTAAGTGCATTGCAAAAGTTATGTATCTAGAAAAGCCAAAACGTCTTATAGTTTAGAATGGAGTAGCTCAAACAGACAGGTCTATAGAAATCTCTAGATTTCCTGTACTACATTAATGTTCTAAGCTTGTTACTTCATGCTGAAGATCAGGGAAAATCTGTAAGCTTAGTTTTCTAGTGTCATAATTAATGTGTGCTCTACAAAAGTGAACTGAAGATTAGGGAAAATCTGTAAGCTTGTTTTCTAGTGTCATAATTAATGTGTGCTCTACAAAAGTGAATAAATGTATTGCTCAAGTATTTCCGAGAGATACAGTTTACTCCTAAGTTAAAGAGTTTACTTTGCTGTATATAGTGGTTTGTGCTTAACCCAACCTTGATATTTTCAGCTTTTCTTGAGAGCTTCTGAGAAGTTTCCCTGGCTCACAGCTAATCAGATCCTTGGGCACAAGGATATGTCGTCCAAGAGACTACATGGCGTGTTTACCCTTCTTATGCTCATGGTTTTCAATGTTTCAGGTACTCCAGTCCATATATTTTGTAGTGCATTTATATGATTCAAACTAGCGCTTACCATATTTTCAGAACCTCACTCTGATTTTCTAGTTCGGTGGAAACCACTTCAACAAGGACATTAAAAATTGATATTTTGAACTGGATTTTAAAGTTTCAACATGTAACCTCTATATTTGCATAACAAGTATTGTTTCACTCTGTAGGGGCATTTGTTGGTATCACTATTGGCAATGACATGTCGAACATGCCACCAGCAACAGATATAGTGTCTATCCTCAAAGCAAAGAAGATCCAGCATGTTCGCCTGCTTGATTCAGACCATCAGATGTTGACTGCCCTTGCAAATACTGGAATAGAAGTGATGGTTGGTGTTCCAAATGATCAGCTACTTCGTGTGGGCCAATCTCGTTCCACAGCTGCTGATTGGATTAATAAGAACGTCGCTGCTTACATTCCGGCGACTAACATCACATATATTGCTGTGGGTAATGAGGTCCTTACTACCATTCCCAATGCAGCACTTGTTCTCGTACCTGCACTGCAATTCCTCCAGTCAGCACTTTTGGCTGCAAATCTCAATACTCAAGTGAAAATTTCGAGTCCTCATTCAATGGATGTGATCTCGAAGGCGTTTCCTCCCTCTGCTGCCACTTTCAATTCGACATGGAGCTCAATAATGTCTCAGTATCTTCAGTTTCTCAAGAATACGGGATCTTCGTTTATGCTGAATGCCCAACCATACTATGGTTATGTAGGAGGGCAAGGTGTATTCCCCTTGGAGTATGCACTGTTCCGCTCACTTAATCCGAACAGTCAAATTTCAGATCCTAACACCAATCTCTTTTATACCAATATGTTTGATGCTACAATTGATGCTACCTACAACTCAATTCAAGCAATGAATTTCACGGGGATTCCTGTTTTAGTCACAGCTTCTGGCTGGCCATGGCGTGGTGGGCCAAGTGAGAAGGCTGCTACTGTTGATAATGCTTTGGCCTACAATACAAACCTCATACATCATGTACTGAACAATTCTGGTACTCCGAGTCAACCAAATAATCAATCAAGCACCTACATCTTTGAGCTGTTCAACGAGGATAATCGGTCAGGGCCTGTATCAGAGCAAAATTGGGGGATTATGTTTCCCAATGCAACCACTATATACTCTCTATCATTTGAGGACGTGGCCACAACTATTCCTGAATCACCAGCTTTGCGTGGGGTGTTTTGTGTGGCAAATTCAAGTGCACCCCATAGTGCACTGAAGCATAGTTTGGATTGGGCATGTGGCCCTGGTTCTGCAAACTGCAGTGCAATTCAACCTGGGCAACCATGCTATGCATCAGATGATATTGTAGCTGTTTCTTCTTATGCTTTCAACGATTATTACCATAGAACACAGTCTAGTGGTGGTACATGCAACTTCAATGGCACCGCAATGATAACATCAACTGATCCAAGTAAGCTACATTCTCTCGTACAATTAGGATACTGTAGAGAATTTTGCACAATATTGATTACTTTGTAATGGTTCCAGTAATTCCTTTTGTTTGCAAATAATTTATAGTTGCCCTTATGTCAGCGCTAGGTGGCATTTCAAAAGATAAAAATTTAGCACTGATATGCTCCATGGGACCGAGGCCTTTTATCTACAAGATTTAACCTAACCATTAGCTGCAGTAACTGTTTGATCTGTGTTTTGCGTTGACTAATCTTCTGTCTTGTTATGTAAAGGCGAGAATTCTACACCCTTAGCTAGCCAGCGCTCAATCTATAGGACAGAATTAGTCAAACTAGGATCATTGCTCGAGCTGTTACATTGATCATAAATCAGTGCCCAAAACACAATACAAGAGAAACAATCTATGGTCACAACAACTCCTATCAGCATCTTGTGTTTATGCTTGTGCTTTTCTAGTTTATTATTATAAACTCAGTTTTTGTTTTTAAATTTAATCTCTAGAAATCAAGGGTATTTAGTACATAAGATCTTTTTATACCATGTTAATAATGTGAGCCTGATCTAAATTCCCCTGGATTTCTTGCAGGCCATGGTTCATGCATTTTCGCTGGAAGGTAATTCCAGTGTACCATTTCGTTTTATAGGTTCTAACCTTATTTTGTGCTCTGTATTGACAATGTAATTTGCTCCTGTTTGCAGCACTGGCGCCAACGGCAGCAAAGGTGGAACAACCTCCGGGCCTGTAAGCCCGGACAGTTTTGCTTCAAAATCCCAATCCTGCTGGTTGACTCACCTAGTAGCCACATTGCTGCCCATTCTATTTGTAGTGATGTAAAGCATTGTAATCATGTTGCCTTTCGGATGAGATGCCCGCAATTTATCGTGGATCTTGTCATTAGATACTGTGGTGACTAGTGAGCCATTTTGGTCTGCTGTATTCAGGTAGATGCCATGTAATCTTATCCCAAAAATTCTTGCCTCAGGAATCAGTGTTTGGTCAAATCATCAATTTTGAATGCCAACTTGGAAAATTGAATTGTGACAAGCAGAGACTTCTCTGAATGTTGGAAGTTCCAAATGATTTGTACTCCTGCATAGTATTTAGTTTTTCAGCTATAAGCATACGGTTTAAGTGGTGAACTGCTGGTTGGATTTTTTTGGGTTTATCTCAAGTTTTTTTTTTTTTTTGAACACCCAGCCCGGCAAAAAATGGATCTGTCGGTTCTCTTCTAGATTGGCCCCTGTTAGTTTGAGGTCAAGAAAAAAAAAGACTCAGTTGGGTGACTAACAGCCCGGTTCGGCCCATTTAACCCATCCAGACAAAGTTTCCTTAATGGTCCTGCAAACTTGGATTTAGCGGTCGAGAAAAAAAAAAGGACTCAGTTGGGTGACTAACAGCCCGGTTCGGCCCATTTAGCCCTTCCAGACAAAGTGACCTTTATGGTCCTGCAAATTTGGATTTAGCGCCCACTTTGGTCCCCGTGGCTGAGGCGGAACTCGCCCGCGCGCAGTTCACGATGGCCAGCCTATCACGGTCTTCTCCACCGAAGCGGCAAGCTCCGCGCCACCGGCGAGCTCTACACCGGTGAACTCTATACCTGATGAGCCTCTGTTCTCCCAAGCAGCACGAAGATGTTGCACTGAAACCGTATGTTGCAAGCACGTTTTTTAAGTGTTTCAGAGGTATGTTACAAGTGTTTTCACGCGGATGTTGCAAAAGTAGATCATGACGTTTGCATATGTTGCACTGGTTGTACACGTATTTTTGCAAGCTTATTTTCCCAATGTTTCATCTGTTTTTCCAGACGTATGTTGCAAGTGTGTTTATTTGGATATTGTATATGTTGCAAGTATTTTATCTAGATGTTGCGTACGTTTTACCATGGTTTTTAATTGTTTTTTCAGGTGTTTTTACAAGTGTTTCATCTGCCTCCAGACGTATGTTGCAAGCGTTGCATCTGGATGTTTTTAAAAGTGGATCAGGTGTTGCATCTCCCTTCTCGCTTCTACTTCAGATTCTTCTCCTCCTCCTCCTCCGGTCTTTGGTTAGGCATCCGCCTCCCCTCCCTTCTCGATCTTTGGATGTTCGAGGCGCGTGGGCCCCGCGTGGTTTTTGCAAGTGTTCATATGCATGTTTCATCTGCGCCTTAAGTGTTGCATCTTAATGTTTTAAAAGTAGATCGAGTGTTACATCTCCTCCTCGCTTTTCTTTGTCTTGCCTCAAGATATCTCCTCCGGCACCGGGGCGTCCGTTGCCCATCCCCTTCTTCCCGATCTTTGGTGATGTTCGGGACGGCCGAGCCCCATGTGATCTGTGAAACGGCGCAAGAAAGCGGTTCGCAGATGCGGCGTCAGACGCCCCATCCGTTCAGACGTCCGAGCGCTAGCAAGCTTGATAGCAAAACGCACCTCAGGCGTAGCTGTTTTTCAGCAGTCCAGACATAGCAGCTCATGTGTTTGCAAAGCAAAATAGAGTAAAATGCAGGTAGGAGACATAGAAGACCGACACGGAGGGAAAACATTCTCAATGGAGTCATGCTATCATTCGTAAAAAAAAAAGGCTCGTGCAATGTCACAGCTCACGGGAGATAATGGCCCCGTTCGCTTGACTGAATTTGGCTAAAAAAATAAGTCAAAGCTGAAATGTTGTGAGAGAAAAACACCGGCTGAAAAAAGAAGCCGAATAAACTGGCTTTTAAGGTAAGTCGAACGGGGCCGATCCCTGTCCATCTGTTAAGGTCGCCACTGGAACGAAGTAGCAGCGAAGAAAAAAGTTCAGTGGACAATTCAATGTGGAAGATCCTGTAAACTCAGCTTGTATGTGGCCAATTCAGTGCGAAGATGCTCTAGCAAATTGCATCAGCCCAATCCAAATCTCCTGTGGCACTTTCATTTGTTCAGACGTGTCATACCTTTTGAGTAGAAACAAAATTCAACGACAAGGCACTCCAGTCTCACGAGAGTAGACAAACTAGTGCTGCAACTAGAATCAAGGCCATCAGCCTGTTCGGCTGGGGCTGAAACGATCGTATACGATCGTGGATTATTACTGCTGGCTGGTTTGGTGTGAGAGAAAAATACTGTTCTAGCTGAAAATTTACGATCGTTTATGACCAACCGAACAGGCTGCATGTTCCTTTCCCTTAAGGGCCTGTTAGGTTCATGAGAATTTATGACCAGGAATTATTTCAACCAGGTTTGCTTCTACTATGTCCTCATTTGTACGGCTCCTCGGGCAGGAAAGGAAGTATAACCTGAGCGTTCACCAGAAATAATTCCTGCCGAGAATCACCCTTAACCGAACGAGCCCTAAGCAGGAGTAGACAAACTAGTGCTGTAACTAGAGTCAAGGCCCTGTAACTAGTGTTGTAAGCGGGAGTAACTAGAGTCAATTCCTAGACAGATCCACGAAAAGCTGGAACTAGTGCTCTCAAGCATTATTGGAAAGACTTGACTCTACTATAACTACTGCTCTATGTATGTGAACTACTCCTGGACGGTGGCGCTCCTCGACGGCGTCCCGGCGGAGGCTCTCCTCGACGGCGTCCAGGACCCAAGGAGGCAGTCCGCGGACCTCCACCTCTACTTGGCGGCCCGCAGGGGTCGGCAGGCGGGCAGCACAGCACCTGCGGGCTGCGGCGCACGCGAAAAAGGAGCCGCTCCCGCTTGTCTTCACGGGTGGAAGTGGAAAACCACTGTCTTTGGGTGGGAACGCTGGCAGCCATTAGATCTTCTCTCGACGGTGGATTTGGACAGTGAAGTCCCGCGGTGACTTGCCATTTCCAGAGCGGTCACCGAATCTGGGCCCCGCGGCGGATATGTCCTCGTCCTCCTCCTTCCTCGACTCCCGCTTCCCCTTCGCCGCCGGCGCCGGGGCCCCCGGCGGAAGCGGCGGTGGAGGCGGGGAGGAGCGTGCAACCGTGGGGGTCGAGCGGCGGGACGTCGGTGTCTTCATCTGGGAAACGGATACAGAAGGAGCTGCTGGACCTCAACGCCTCCGACTGCTCCGCGGGACCCAAGGGCGACAACCTCTACCACTGGCTCTCCACCATCATCGGGCCCCAAGGTAAGAGCTCCCTCCTCTCCGATTCTCCAATTCGTTAGAGACAGTCCAAAGCTCGTGGAAATTTTAGTGCGCTAGATGGCAGTCTCACTTCAACAAGCTGCTTTTTTTTTTGAAAGATTGCTGCTGCTATTTTTAGAGTAGGTGCTGTAAGTTGAGCTGTGAAATAAGCATGGAAGTGCGGGTTGAGTTGACACATAATTTACGTCTTGCAGGATCGCCATATGAAGGAGGGGTATTTTTCCTTGACATCGTGTTTCCTCCTGATTATCCCTTCAAACCTCCCATGGTAAGAATTCACATTTTTGCTATTAATGTACTTCTATGTGACACTGGCTGTTGAATTGTGCTGGGAAATCTCTGCTTAGTGCCTTAGTACAGAAAAAAAAATTGATGTGGCCCTGAAAAGCGAAAACTTAAGCTCCAACTTGACATTTCTCCTCTTCTTGTTATGCATACCTTCTACCTAATCCCATGATTCCTGCTTCTCGTACTCTTTTTGAATGGACAAGCTTTAACTAATTTGTATGTCACGCTCAGTTGTGATGATTGGTGCCCGTGACCGCCAAAGTACTAGAAAGTATTCATAAGAAAAAATCAAGTGGGAGATCAGAACAGTTAGGCTGGTAATAGTTTCTAGTTCTAGTTCTGATTGTTCTGCCCTTGGGATCCTGAATTTGCATTACAATTCTTCCTAGGAAACTGAATAGAAAACCATGCATACAGTGTTTTAACAGAATGATGACTTCATTATGCTTTTGACATCACCTCTTAACACACAGTGACATATTGTTATCTTGGCTAGAATATAAGAGAGTCAGCTAACTCAGGGAAGTGATTCTAAATGCGTAGTCCACTACTCCACTCTCGGCGGGCTATTCACATTTCTTGTCGTTAGCTGGCTTGTTGAGAGCAAATAACTCCAGTATTGCTTGCCTGTTTAGCAGCTCTGGTTGGTGGTAAAATAGTTTTGTAATATATGGTAATCGGGAAGACTGTAAAAACTAGCCTTTCCTCTTAATGAAAAACGTGCAATGTCACGGTCACAAAAAAAAAAAGACTCCACCCGTTCATGTTGTTGATATGATGGTAATTGGCAACACTGCCACCATCTATTTCATGTTTACTTTCTGACTTTTGACAGGTTGCTTGACATAAGAGGGACCAGAAACAGCCGACCTCCATTTTGTTTTTTGTCTTTCACCTACCATTTTAATCTTCAGTGGCACAGTTTTACCATGACCAGCCACTGGAACTAACTATTCATGTAGCTAATTCAGACTACTGCAACTACCATACTAAACTACTAAAGCTATTAATGTGATGTTCCAGATATAATAGTATTACAATATGTTTTTGAGGCCTCTGTTCTCAAAATAGCCTACCCCAACTTGCTTTGGACTGAAAGGCTTTGCTTTGTGTTCTCAAAATATCTTTCCAACGCTCTTTGATGTTATTGTCAGATCTATACTTATGTAGGTAGTGTTACCAATGTTAATCATGGCTTGACATTTCACATGTTAATATTGTAAGTTTCACAAGTTGTTTTACTCTTCTGGTGAAATCTATTCAAATTGAGTACATTTAGTTTAATAACAACTCCGACTGTGTGTTATGCTGGTATTGTCCCAGGTAACTTTCAAAACAAGGATTTACCACTGCAATATTGATTCCACTGGTAAAGTGCATTTGGACATTCTGAAGGATGGCTGGAGTCCAGCTTTCACTATTTCAAAGGTGTTATTGGCCATCAAAGACATCATCAGCAATCCAGATCCATGTACTTACCATTCGCTGTACTACCTTCTGTAAACAATCATGGATTCTGGTGCAAATTAAGCCTACTTACATATTTTCTACTTTACTTCAACAATTGAAAGCCTTACGTTTTCTTATTCAATTGACAGGCTAAAGTTATGATTTTTGTTTTTGCAGACAGCCCACTTGTGATGAGCATTTCACGTCAGTATCTGACTGATAGAGCTAAACACGATGAAATAGCAGCTGAGTGGACAATGAGATTTGCAAGATAGGGGATTCTGTCTGTATCTAAGCACGATTGACCTTGTAAAAAAAACTTAATGTGGCCTGAGATGGTGAATGTTGGCAAAGGAGCCATGTTTTGTTTGATGTGAGTTGTGACATAAAGGTGTACTTTATGCTTGAGTGTTATTTAATTGCTGCTTTTAGGTGAAGGGTAATCTTTTTAGATTTTGCACTTATGCCAAAGTTGCACAAGCAACTCTTCAGAACCTGCTATCCGAGTTTATTTCTAAAAATGATTTCTATTGAAACTGGCATCAGGTCCTGCCGTCCTGGTTGAGGATGTCAGTTTCATATACTGAAAGGAAAAACTTAAATCATCGGAATGTTCAGAAACCAACAACCTTTAACGTTACAGTTGTACAAATGATAGATTAATTTTCTGCAGTCAAAAGTATGTAAAGCATGCCATTCATATCTTTCACTTGAAACCAAATCCTGCTGGTTATCATTTGGGTGGTGTTGTTGGACAAGGCTTCAGTTACACAGGTAATTTTCCTTGGTTCCAGAACTTTGTCCCTAGTTCTTAGGCGTTCCTTGGACAGAATAAATTCATATTGCCATCCAGCAAAGCACAAAGATATCAGATGTTTAAAAGGGCGTACCCCCGAGAGCTTCCGCTCTGTGCATGGTATGGGGAAGGGTGTCGTGTGAGCCCTTACCTCGCCTTGTCAATCACGAGGAGATTGCGACTCGAACCGGGACCTTCCGGTCACACAGGCGTTAAGACTCTACCGCTTGCACAGATGTTTATGGCAGAATAATTGTCACTTGCCTACTGCTGCTAACTTGGATCTCACTTCATGTAGGGATGATAAAGCTACCACGACAGGCACTGATCTTACAAATGACCAAACTGGACTTCACCTCTGAAGGTGACGCCTCACCATTTCACTGATTCCCTGTACGGACTGCTCAATTGAACACATCTGGGGACATTATAACTCCACCACCAGAGAAGATGCAAATCCACACTTTCTGGTGCTCTGGTGGCCTTACTCTTTAGACCATAGACAATGGCCACCGAACTAGATGTGAGCAAGTCTCGCCGCTTCGACATTGCCATGTCGAGGCGAACTCGGCGATCGACAAGCCTGGTAGCCTGCTTTCAAGATCAGTATACACCGTCCCTGGCACAGCATCGCCACCAAGAGCTGAAGGCATTTCTGCAATGCCAAGATGAAGAGCTGAAGGCAGTCCAGCAATGTGAGGATGCGGAGCAGAAGACGCTGTGTTCGAATGAAGATGAAGAGACGAAGACTCCACAAGTACCACTGCAGTATGAAGATGATGAGCAAAAGATGCCAGAGCAATATGAAGATGAGCAGAAGAAGGAATCACAGCGATACCCAGACGAAGAGCAGGAGATACCAGATCCATATCAAGATGATGAGAAGAAACCGGACCAGTATCTAGACGAAGAGAAGACGCCAGAGCAGTATCAGGATGAAGATGAGTTGCCATCACAATACCAAGAACAGGAGTTGGTGACACCAAACCTACCTGAAGAAGATGAGAAGGAGACTGCATCAGAGAAATTCCAAAACGTGGAGCTGGTGACACCAAACCTACCTGAAGAAGATGAGAAGGAGACTGCATCAGAGCGATTCCAAGACGAGGAGCACCTGGTGACACCAAACCTACTTGAAGAAATTGAGAAGGAGACTGCACCTGGGCGATTCCAAGCTGAGGAGCCGAAGGAATCACAATCTGAAGACGAGGAGGAGCAGAAGTCTCAGCAGGAACGCCATGACATTGAGCAGAAGGCGCCAGAGCAATTCCAAGCATTGAAGAAAGTAGCCACGCCACCACGTCTTGTGGACAACGTGCCCCGGTTCTCCCTTCAGGAGCTTATACAACAGAAGCAGCTTCCAACCGGCGAGGCAATGCCTACCAGCAAGCTAGGCAACCGTGGAGAGAATGTCCTTGCTGATCACAAAGGAGCAGCAGCAGGCGGCACGACACTGGCCATGGTGATAAAGCGACCCGAGGGAGGGAAGAAGTCGATGGGGATGATACGCCGGTGCGTGAAGGCCCTGAACCAGATGATCAAGGCCAAGCACGGGTCCAAGAAGAACTTGCATTTCTAGTTTTCAACAGAATTCAGGAGTACATACATAACACTGATGAGCAAGTGTGGTCCAGAGTTTCTTAGTAGACTGCACATCTCTGAATAATGCACGCGCAGTTGCGCAGAACCAAAATTTTGGGCATGATGCAGGGTGTGCAAGATCTGGCGAGAAACTCCAGGGCTTTTTACGCCCTGGTCTATACTGTTCTACCTATAGCAATAAACTGTGAAACTTTTATTAGCTGAAGATCACCAGCCTTGTGAGAAGATGGACTACTAAGTGATGTTCTACGCGATTTGCTCAACGATGTAGCGGGTGACAAGTCCAGGAATCGAGATCAGGCTCTGATCTTGTGTTGTTGACTTCCTCTGCGAAAGCTTTTTTCTTTTAGAAGCATGATTGTGATTAGAAAAAGGGAAAATGATCGGTTCTACTTCTACCGACACCTGCCCCCAGGTCGGCAGCGGTTTTGGTGCAAACTCCTTTTCTGCCTTTCTGTGCCACGTCCCGTTTCGGTTTGGTGTGTGATACTAAATGCTGAGAACACAAGTTAGTGCAAAAGAAAAGGTGAAAGAGCTGAAACCTGTGAAGCCTCTTGAGTTATTGGTTGAGGATGCAACGCATGGTACGCCATCATACATCTCTTCTTCGTTTATGATCACTCTCGGTTTAAAGATTTGAACGGGTGTATTGTTGGGGTTGGGACCTGGGGGACTGGAGGACATGTTTATGCTCTATAAACATTTGCTACTGTATTTTATGGAACTGAAAAATGAGCAGATAGTTTTTCTTCATCTTCTATGAGACGATTTTTTTCCCTTGTTTTACCCAATGAAAAAAACAAGATGTGGCTTGGTAATGCTATCCACACAACACTCGTTGCACTGATGCTTTACTGTTCCATTTCACCATTTGAAGCACAATTTTACCGTGTGAACAGAAAATGTGCCTACCAGGGAACACTGAGGCCTTGTTTGCCTACACTCCAATCTAAGGTCTTGTTTGGCTAAGCTTCAATCCTCTCGATCCATGTGGATTGTAGTAGATTAGAGCAGTAGCAGAGCCAGAAACTTTTAGGAGCCCAGGCTATTATTGTCACTATGCAGAAATATTTATAGAAAACAGTGTTCCTCTTTCATACAAACAACAAATCCCTTTACACTTCGCCGACGTCGAGCCCGGACTACCGCCGGGGTCCCATGGGACAGTGGCTCCGCCACTGGATTAGAGTGCAGTCAAACAAAGTCTAAGGAAAAGTTTGGTTTGAAGTAAGCACCCAATTCTATACAGGGTTGTATGAGGCCATGAGGCGGCGTATCATGGGGCCATCAGTACAAAATAAAAATGTCTTATGCCCGTACATTTAATACTGTAGGGGCACGAATTTACAAGTTTTTACTCCCATCCATATGGATTTTTCTAAAGTTCGAACATTTATCAGCTTTTACTCCTTCAGTTTAGAATATATAAGACTTTGGACGATACCAGGTCTCCATTACTCAAATTTGAGCATATGGTCTTGCAGTAGCATCAATCTATCAGTAATACAAAAGAATTTATATTAGTATATCGGCAGACTATTCAATATTCATAAATCAAAACTCATAACCTGCTATTTGCCAACTACTCTGATTCCACTTCCAGATCTACCATCATCAACTTTCTGACCATGTCCACTACTGGGCTGCCTTTGTAGCAGTGATTGTGGACATCAGAAGATGATGTCTGTCTAACAAAAAGAAGCATCCGGACTATCATCAAACAACACTTGATGAACAAGAGAATAAGACCATTTCATCACGTTAAAAAAGTTGAATAGATTGGAGCTCCACGTCATTCTGAACCAGAAATGGGAACAATAAAAGATTATCCCACGCACAATAATGGGAACAAAAAAACAATGTGGCTTGCTGATCTCAGCATCTTACTATAAACATCGAAGATTCAGCGAGCAACATATTTGCTGCTCCCTGGCACCGCATCCAGACAAACAGAGTCACAACAACACAGAAATTGCATAATATTCCATACAGCCAGGTCAAATTTCAAGGAATATATCCAAACAGAACTGAACAACTGAATTACATCTGAAATTGAGCAGATGATCATAATCTAGGGTTCTCCTCTGCGTTTTCGGTAACCTCCTCCTCTTCCCTAATCCTCCACCTTCCCCTCCTCACTGTCAGTGACCTCCTCTTCCACCTCCGCGTAGCCCTTGTCTTTATACTGCCTGATGATATCGGCGTCGACGGCCATCAGCTTCTCAATGTCAGCTTTCTGCATTGCAAAGGCTGCTCGGCACTCCTCAGAGAACTCGGCCACCAACTCATCAGGGATCACCGGGAAGGGCGTCACGGGCCTCGTCATGATTTCGTCGACGAGCTCCTGCGGTAGTCTTGTCTTGACAAGCTTCTTCCTCTTCTTCCCGGCCCCGGCCGTGGCCAGCTTAGTCGCCAACAGAGACATCGCCTGGATCTTCTTGACGTTGTCGTCACCACTCTCTGTCTTCGACGCGCTCGCCTTCTTCCTCTTGAGGTCACGGTCACCAGCTCCCATCGCAGCAGGTGCGATCGATGGAGCTCTAGATCTGGATTGGCAGACAGCGAGGGCTGTGGCGTCGGCGGCTATTACGATGGAAGAAAGGGTAGCGACGGCCGGCGGCAGCGGAGACCCCGGTTTTATTGCCACACGCAACGCAACCGGCTACCGCTATTCCTACTGTATTCGATTCGGAATCTTTTTTTTTTTTTTAGCAAATTCGGAATCCAATTAAGCCAGACCTAGAGCCCCTTTAGTTCTCAAAATTTTGTAAAATTTTTCAAGATTTCCTGTCACATCGAATATTTCATAAAGCATTAAATATAAATAAAAAATAAAACTAATTACACAGTTTAGACAAAATTGGATTCCGAATTTGA